ACACATATGACGGGCCACACGCTTACAGATGGTGGATTGGGCCACACACCTTCACATGGTGGACAGTCCACACGCCTACACAAGGTGGACGGGCCATGCCCTCCACACAGAGGACGGACCACGCACCTACACACATAGGACGGGCTGACACATGGAGGAAGGGCCAGACGCCCAAACGGTGGATTGGGCCACACGCATTCACACAGACGGGCCACACACCAACAAACAAAGAACAGGCCACATGCCGACACAAGGTGGACAGGCCACACTCCTTCACACAGACGATGGGCCACACGCCTGCGCATGTTGGACGGGCCACACACGGAGGACGGGCCATGCACCTACACACGGAGGACATGCCACATGCCAACACACGGATGACGGGCCAGACGCCTACACAAGGTGGATTGGGCCACACACCTTCACACGGTGGAGGGGTCATGCCCTCCAAACAGAGGATGGGCCACATGCCTCCACATGGAAGACGGGCCACTCCTTCACATCGAGGGTGGGCCACATGCCTCCACATGGTCGACGGGCCACTCCTTCACATCGAGGATGGGCCACTCCTTCACAAAGAGCATGGACCACATGTCTTCACACGGAGGACGGGCCACATGGCTACACATGGTCGACGGGCCACTCCTTCACATCGAGGACGGGCCACATGCCTACACACGCAGGACGGGCCACGTGGCTACACATGTGTAGAGACGTAAATAGCGTCTCTGCGGCGTAAAAGCCCGATACTGCATGACTGCTGTGGGGAGGCGCACTTCCCTTTCATTTACCTGTCGACGGGGGCCCAAGGGGCGCTGTCACGGGTTCCGTCGGGAGAGTCGGAGGAAGGAGCGTGGCAAGAGGCCGAGTGGGGCCACGCTCGAGGAGGGGTCAAGGAAGAGGCGGAGCCATCGGGCAGTCGAGTGGGAGAACTGGCGGTGCGTGGTCACGTCGGGGGAAGCGGGAGACCGTCGGTAGTAGGAACTCGGTGGGGCAGGGATCCCCTCTCCCTTGTTGGGGTCTAGAATAGCCAGAGTGTAATTTGTAAATCCGTTTAATGGTAATAAATTGTGGTGCCTCCTACTTCAGTGTGTGCCTCGTCAAACACGCACTACACACGGATGACGGGCCAGAAGGCTAGACGGTGGACTGGCCACACACCTACACACGAAGAACGGGCCACACACTGACACACGGAGGATGGGCCACATGCTTCCACATGGAGGACGGGCGACGCCCACACAAAGAGGACGGGTCACACGCCTACACGATCGACGGGCGGCGACAAGCCTACTCACGGAGGACGGGCCACACGCCTACACAGACGACAGGCCACATGCCTACACACGGAGGATGGGCCACACGCCTACTACACAAGGTGGATTGGGACACCCCTTCACAAGGTGGACAGGCCATGCCCTCCACACAGAGGACGGGCCACATGCCTACCCATGGAGGACGGGCCACGCACTGACATACAGAGGACGGGCCACATGCCTACACACGGAGGATGGCCACGCACTGACACACATAGGACGGGCCACACACAGGATGGGCCACACGCCTACACACAGTGGACTGGCCACACACGGAGGATGGGCCACACCTCCATACAGAGGACATGCCACATGCCTACACATGGAGGACAGGGCACAAACCTATACACAGAGGCCGGGACACACACCTACAAACGAAGAAAGGACCACACACCTACTGTGGTGCCACAGCAACGGAGCAACTCCGCTGGCGCAGCCATCCCCTCGCTCATCTCCACACGAACACACGCACACCCCCACTAAACACAGACACGCACCCACGTTGGGTCTCGATGGGGGGAGGGTGCCTGGCACCACGGGTTTTCATCCGAAAGGCCCATAGCAGAGATGTCCCCCAGTTTCCTGTTGCCAGGAGATTGGCTGACCCCCACCAGGCCGGATTACATGGTGGCCCCCCTAAAGTCAACTTAAAAAGTCGTAGGGACACATACAGCTTTAAAGGCTGGCCGCGTTGAAGCAGACACAACACGGGTGGTGGGGCCTCGAAGACAAACACTCTACGGGCAGTGCAAACAGTGGGGTGGGGGAAAATCCCTGGGCGCCCTAGGAGGAGCGATTTAAGAGAGGCAGGAAATTACCGGTGAATCAGAGATGAGGAACGCAGATATGGGGACAATGGAAAGGGGGGAAAGAGAGGGGGGGAGATGACGTGATGCCCCCCCCCCAACGGACAGATCGTTCAAAACTCGGCAGGTAAAGCGTTCGATTGGCCGCGCAGGAGGACATCATGTCACACGGGGATTAACGGGCTATGAGAGGATAGGAGGGGAGGGAGAGAGCGAATTTAGATCAGAGTTCTCCTGCTACCGTCGAGAATCCCAGCTGCCCTCAGCGTCCGCGTGACCCCTGCTGCTGGGTGTAGCTGTGAACTGAGTTTATGGGTGGAATTGCCATCCATAAACTCGGCACTACTACCCATAAACTCACAGCTACCCATTGACTCAGCACTGCCCATCGACTAAGAACTGGCCAAAGACTCAGGACTGCACCATGGACTCAGCACGTCCCATCCAATAATAATGTCCACTTATTAAATCGCTTGTCACCGAGAGGTCGAGCTCAAAGCAAATAAGTTATTAACAAAGCGATTATAAATCCTAATATGAGCTCGCAGGCTCATGATTTTACCAGGCATACAATTCCTCCCCACCACGCTCCCAATAAACATGACACAATTATCGAGGGAAAAAAACGTTCTTAATGGATCACTGTCACCCATAGCCTCACTGATACCCATAGACTTGCACTGCACCATAGACTCAGCACTGCCAATAGGCTCATCACTGCTGCCCATAGACTCAGCACTGCCCATACTAATATATAACCACCCAGCTCTGACATTCTGTGACTGTGATTAACGCGGCACGGATTACTTGAAGTGCGTCACGTGACTGCGAGCAAGCAGCCAACCAGAGGTGCGCCCCTCCCAAACATGTACACCCCCGGATTGGTTGAAGTGCATCACGTGACCGCAAGCAAGAGACGGGTGAGTGAGAGTGAGGCAGAGCCGCGCTGTCTCCACTGCTGCCCTGAGGCAGAGCCGTGCTGCGTCCACTGCTGCCCTAAGGGACCCCCGTGCTCTCCATTGCTGGCTTTAGGGAGAGCCACGCTGTCTCCACTGCTGCCCTGAGGGAGTGCCGTGCTCTGTCCACTGCTGCCCTGAGGGAGAGCCACGCTATGTCCACTGCTGCTGTGAGGGAACCAGACGCGCTCCCTCCACTGCTGTGGTTGTTCGGAGACACCACAGGCGCCCCCGCACAACAACATAGTATAATCATAGTGAACGTTTAGCAAGCGCGTTTCACCCAGAGGTCGAGCTAAAATCAAATAAGTAAATAAATAAGCGAATCTAAAAACTAATATGAGCACGCAGGCTCAGGATTTTACCAAGGATACAATTCTCCCCCCTCTACCACACTCCCAAAATACATCACACAAGTATCAAGGGGATACAAGCTATCTTAATGGAGCACTGCCATCCATAGACTCAGCAATGTCACCCATAGACTCACTGCCCATAGACTTAGCGCTGCTACCAATAGACTCAACAATGCTACACAGACTCAGCATTGCCACCCATAGACTCAGCATTGCAACCCAACACATTCCTGCGGAAGGAGCTGGTAGGAACGTTGGGTTGCTCGGTCAATGGCCAGGGTCAACGGCAGCGTGGTGTATTCCGAAAATATGCCCAACTGTGAGGGCGGGCACAAGCCGGCGTGAGTAGGTTAAATGTTGAGTTTTATAAGGGCACCACGGGGTGACCAGCCCCTCCCCACCCAGCCCCACCCCTCCCACCCCCACCCAGCCCCTCCCCACCCTCTCCACCCAGCCCCTCCCCACCCAGCCCATCCCCACCCTCCCCACCCAGCCCCACCCTCCCCACCCAGCCCTCCCCACCCTCCCGTCCCGACCCAGCCCCTCCCACCCAGCCCCTCCCTCCACGACGGACGGACGGACACAATAATCCCCTGTGGGCTGATGTAACCAGGAGGTTCCTACCAGTATAAACTCACAGCTCCCCATAGATGCAGCACTGCCCATCGACTAAGAACTGGCCATAGTCTCAGAACTGTACAGACTCAGGACTGCACCGTAGACCCAGCCAACACTACCTGTTCTGCCTCACGGCAGGTGTTTTGCCTCACGGCAGATGTGGGGGTGTGTGTAAACAGGAATTTCCTGTTTTGAGGTTGAGTTTCGTCACGTGACCAGGAAGTTACAATTTGACAGCCTCCCAACCACCCGACAGGGATGTCAGCCATTACACAGTACAAAATGGTGGTACAAATCGCGTCCCAGTGAAGACAGCTGCATCTGTTCATTGTGGGACTTTAAAAAGCATTGTCTGTAAGTTCGTTTATGTTCTTATAATACTGGGAATGCCGTTATAATGCTGTAAATGCCCTTATAATGCTGTTAAATTGTTATGATAAATACGAGGCCTTGTTAACAACGAAGCCTGCAACTTGCCTTATTGTAAATGTTACTTGTAATTGAATAAGTCGAGTCATACTCGTACCCATGTAACCTTATTGCGATCTTGAGAGCAAGGATGATGAAATATCTCATCCACAGTTCAGTATTATGTGTAGTGCTGTAAATTTGGGCTGCAGCATGGTTGATCACACGAAGTGCCCTTACTTAACACAGTAGCTTATACTCTTTTATAGCTATTCAGTACTAATGTAGGTGCCTGGTCTATCCAGGATCTATTGTTGAGTTTAATGTTATCTAAGACATGTTATGATGCTGTAGTATTCATTGTATTGATATTACCAAGTATTAACAGATGCTGTATTTGTGCTGTGTTTTTCCATCAGTTTTACCTCGTTCAATTCATTAAATACGTTTGGAGTCGGATGTTCACCCTGGCTCTGAATGTTTATTGGATGCGAGGTTATCTGCTTGGATAGTGGTGCAACGCAGCGCATAGCGAGGCCGAGACAGTAAAAAGACATTCTTCTTGGAGCTCCCAACCAGCCAGCTCCTTCTTGGAGCTCTCAAGCAGTCAGCCCTGCAGCAAGCAAGGAGCTCTCAGGCAAACAGCCCTGCAGCAAGAAAGGAGCCCTCAAGTAGTCAGCCCTGAAACAAGCAACCAGCTCTGCAACGAGTCTACATTAAAATTGTGTTGCAAGCATCGCAGCATGGAAAGCCACAATTCAGCAGGGAGAGATGCTGAAGAAAGTAATTTAAGCAATCCAGTGCCTCCCATCCTGCCTCAAGAGGACCAAGGGAGTTCAAGGCCACAAAGAGAGGTCCGGCTGGCACAGCGGGCCTTGGAAAGCTATGATGCTGAGAAGCAGGACCTTGATGCCAGGATACAAAGGGCATGGGACCAGGTTGAAGCAGATATATCTGAAGCTCAAAACGCCCCATACACAGTGGCCTCAATTCAGCGGGTGATAAAGCGAGTGAAGGTGAGCAGTTCAAGCTACAAGCTGCCGGCAAATAAATACATTTCCCTCCTGATGAAGGTGAAAACAGACGAGGGCATCGAGGGAGTGTGCATACAAGAGCACTTCCTTGAACTGCTCTGATACTGGTAGGAACGAAGTGGACCAGCCTACAATAGATTATATCGTCCATCCGTCCGTCCATGTAGCAACATCGCCCCCTACTGCAAACACTTGGCATGACCCTACAAAAACCTTTAGACTCAGTGACGCTTTCCTGGCTAAACAAGTGTAACATTCCCTTATAATTCCCTCAGATAGCTTTTAATTAAAACATTTAAATTAATGAGGCTTTCCTGGCTAAACAAGTGTAACATTTCCTTATAATTCCCTGAGATAGCTTTTAATTAAAACTTTTAAATAAAATTTAACTCAGCGCCCTAAAGCCTACAGCTAGGCCTAAAGCCTCGAACTACGCCTCAAACTCTCCCTTCGTATCGTACCCCCGCGTGTGTGCAAGGGAGTTAATGTTTAACAATGTTACATTCCCTGATGCTTTTAAATAGAAACATTTAAATTTAAAGCTTTTACATAAATAATAAAAACATTTAAATTTAAAATTAACTCACGGCGGCCTACAGCTAGGCCTAAAGCCTAAAACTAGGCCTCAAACTCTCCCTTCGTATCATACCCCCGCATGTGTGAAAGGGAATTAATGTTTAACAATGTTACATTCCCTGATGTTTTTAAATATAAACATTTACATTTAAAGCTTTTACATAAATAATTAAAACATGTAAATTAAAAATTAACTCACAGCAGCCTCACGCCTACAGCTAGGCCTAAAGCCTAGAAATAGGCCTCACACTCTCCCTTCGTATCGTCCGATTCGGTGTGTAGCAACATCGCCCCCTACTGCAAACACTTGGTAGGACCCTACAAAAACCTTTAGACTCAGTGGGGCTTTCCTGGCTAAACAAGTGTAATAATACATTATGTTTATATTCTTTGGTTATTCGTTCTTACCAGCCCACCCCGCAGGGTCCTGTTAATATGAAGGCAGTGCTACAAGACGCAATGGACCGCGTGGAGGGCTTAAGAGAGACACGATCTCAGCACTCTGTCTCATCTAAGTCCACCACAAGATCTAAAGGCTCAGCACACTCACAGATATCATCTACTAGTATGGCAGCAGCTCAGGTATGTGCAGCAGCAGAAGCAGCAAACGTCCCAACCAACACTACCCATGGGTGAATGAATGAGTGATTGTGTTGGCGAGTGAGTCGGTGTTTGTGTTAGTGAATGAATGAGTGAGTAGGTGGGCGAGTAAGAGAGTGGGTGAGTGGGTGAATGAGTGAGTGGGCGAGTGAGTGAGTTTGTGGATGGTTGAATGAGTGAGGGAGTGGGTGGGTGGGTGGGAAATCGGTTGAGTGGGGGAGTGGGTGAATGAGTGATCGAGTGGGTGGGCAAGTAAGCGAGTGCTTGAGTGAGTGAATTAATGAATGAGTGGGTTGGCGAGTGGGTGGGTGAGTGAGTATATAAGTGAGTGAACGGGTGAGCGAGTGAGTGTGTCGGTGGGTGAATAGTGAGTTGGTGAACGAGTGGGTGAGTGAGTGAGTGAATGAGTAGGTGGGCCAATGAGTGAGTATGTTAGTGGGTTGGTGAATGAGTAGGTGGGTGTCTGAATGAGTGAGTGGGTGTGTGAGTGGGTGGGCGAGTGAGTGAATGGGTGGGAGTGTTATTGAGTGTGTGGGTGAATGAGTGATTGAATAGGTGTGCTAGTGGGTATGTGGGTGATTGTGTGAGTGGATGAGTGAGTGGGTGAACGAATGATTGAATCGGTGGGTGGATGGGTTGGTGAATCAGTGAGTGTGTAGGCGAGTGAGTATGTGGGTTATTGAGTGTGATGATGGATGAATAAGTGAATGAATCTATGGGCGATTGAGTCGGTGAATGAGTGGGTGGTTGGCTGAATGAATGAGTGAGTGAATGAGTGAGTGGGTGGATGGGTGTTTGAATCAGTAATTGAGTGTGTTTTGGCGAGTGAGTGAGTGAGTGGTTGTTTGATTGTGTTGGTTTGTTGAATGAGTGATTCGGTGGGGGAGTGTGTGGGTGAATGGGTGAGTGAGTGGGCGTGTGAGTGAGTGAGTGGGCTAGTGAGCGAGTGTGTGGATGGGTGAATGAGTGATTGAGTGGGTGTGCAAATGATTGAGTGTGTGATTGGGTGAATGATTGCTCGAGTGGGTGGGCAAGTGAGTGAGTGGTTGAGTGGGTGAATGAATTAATGAGTGGGTGGGCGAGTGTGGTTGAGTGAGTGAGTGGGTGAGTGTGTTTGTTGGTAAATGAGTGAGTGGGTGACTGTGTGAGTGGGTGATTGGGAGAATCAGTGAGTGATTGGGTGGGCCGCTCATACATCAATGACCCCTGGGGGGAGGGGTTTGAGGGGTTTTAACAAGCGATTGAAGTTTAATTGGTCCTTGGTTTAACGTACGCCTTTGTAAAATACACTTTGAACGGACTATTCCGGAACAATTTTATCAATCCACCACGCAGGTCCAAAGAGTAAAAAGATTTTGCCAACGCGTTGTCTACTTTGACGAGCAAATGCAAGGTTAGAGCTTCATTCACGCCACGTCTGGTGCCGTCGCTAAAGCCGACTGACTAACGAAGTGGGTGAGTGAATGAGTCAGTGTGTGAGTGGATGAGTGGGTGGATGGGTGAGGTAGTTAGTGAGTGAGTGGGTGAGTGAGTCAGTGAGTGGGTGGATGAGTGAGAAAGTAGGTCTGTGAGTGAGTAGGTGAGTGAGTTAGTGAATGGGTGGGTCAGTGGGTGAGTCAGTGAGTGTGTGAGTGAATGGGTAAATGAGTAAGTTGGTGGATGAGTTACTGAGTGAGTTGGTGGATGTGAGGGAGTTTGTCAGCTTGTAGGTGAGTAAGTTAGTGAATGAGTGGGTGGGTTAGTCATTGAGCAAGTCAGTGAGTGGGTGAATGGGCAGGTGAGTGAATGTGGCTGGACGAGTGAGTGGGTGCATGAGTGAGGGAGTGGGTGAGTGAGTGGGTGGGTGAGTCAGTGAGAGGGTGGGTGAGTGAGTCAGTGAGTGGGGGAGTTGGTTGGTGAGTGAATGAGAGAGTAGGCTGGATGAGTCAGTGAATGAGTCAGTGAGTGGGTGAATGGGTGAATGCGTGGGCGAATCATTGGTTGGGTGAGTCAGTGAGTGAATGGGTGAATGAGTTGGAGAGTGAGTGGGTGGGTGGGAGGGTGAGTGGGTTGGTGGGTGAGTGTGTGGGTGAGTCGGTGGGTGAGTGAGCGGCTGGGTGAGTGGTGAAGAAGGGTAGATGAGTGAGAGAGTATAAGTCAGTGAGTGTGGTTGGACGAGTGAGTTGGAGAGCGAGTGTGTGGGTGAATGAGTGGGTAAGTGGGTGGGTGCATGAGTGAGTGAGTGGGTGAGTGAATCAGTGATTGGCAGAGTGAGTGGGTGAGTGGATCCTCATTAAAGCCGACTGTTCTTAAAATCGCTAAAATGTTTGATTGCGAAAGTAACTTTACAATACATATGCATTAGTAATTGGGGACATTAACTTCTTGTAAATCAACAAGACACCGACTTCGGACTGCTGATTTTGGAGTTTGTTGGTGAATGGGTGGATGAGTGAGCGAGTGGGTGGATGAGTGAGTGGGTGGATGACTGACTGAGTGGGTGGGTGAGTGGGAGGGTGAGTGTGATGGTGGGTGGATGATTGAGTGGATGAGTGAGTGGGTGAGTGAAACAGTGAGTGGCATAGTGAATGGGTGAGTGGATCCTCATTAAAGCCGGCTGTTATTGAAGTCGCTAAAATATTTGTGCGACGGTAACTTTACAATGCCTATACATTTGTAATTGGGGACAACTTCTTGTAAATCAACAAGACGTCCACTTCTGACTTATGATTTTAGAGTGCGTGGGTGAGTGGGTGGATGAGTGAGTGAGTGGATGACTGACTGAGTGAGTGGATGAGTGTGTTGTTGGGTGGATGAGTGAGTGAGTGGGTGGATGAGTGAGTGAATGAATGGGTGATTTAGTGAGTAGGTGATTTAGTGAGTGGGTGGATGGGTGGATGAGTGGCTTAGTGGGTGAGTAGGTGGTGACTGGATGATTGAGTGAGTGGGTGGATGAGTGAGTTGATGAGTGGTTGAGTGAGTTGGTGAGTGGGTAGGTGAATTGTGAGTGAGTGGGTGAGTGGGTGAATGGGTGGATTAGTGGGTGGATGGGTGAGTGAGTGGGTTATCTCCCCCATGCACCCGTACACCACCACACAAAAACGAACACGGAGGCGTGCACGCGCGCGTCCCTGCGGGCGCGTTTTCCCCACACAAAGTTGGGGCTGGCCAAAACGAACGGCGGCGGTATGACTATGCACGCGCCCCTCCTGGTCGTTAAGCCCTAATCCGCGTGCCCGCAATGCTAATGTAAACCAAAAATAAACGGCGGCTGTATGAATATCTATAGGTGCGTGCTTCCCCAACGGCCAGTGCTACGGCCCCCGGAGGACCCGGCAGCGTAATGCAAACAGGCAAACTCGCTGCGTAAAGCGCGCTGTGGAAACTCGCTGCACGCGAGCGCTTACCACCGCCGAGGTTATCCAGCACACGCCGAGCGCTGATCAACAGAAACGGCGGCGGTATGAATATGCACACCTACCCCCTGGATGGATAAGCCTTAATCTGCTGTGCAAACAGAGGCTAATGCCAGCGGGAAAGGAACGGCTGGGATAGGGCAATGGGCACGCCTCACCGTTAACGCATTTCTACCGTGTAAACGCGCTGCGTAAAGCACACTGTGTAAACACGCACGCGAGCGCAAGCACGCGCAAACGATGGCGGCTTTGTGTGGTGCAGGACACGCGCCTCACGCTCAAATCACTCGCACCACCCCTACGCTGCAGCCCTGCGCTCGCGCTCACGCCGGGGACCCCGATGCTGTGAGTGGCTTGAAGAGGCAGGACGGCAGGCAGTGAGTCGTGATGGCCCGGAGGTTGTAGACAACTGGCTCAATCGTCCCGGAGCTCCCACCTTTTCTCTAAACTTTAAAGGCCTGAGGGGGGGGGGGGGGGGTGTCACCTCGTGCAGCCAATCACGCGCCTACCTTTCGATTTACAACTGATGTCCCGCCCTCACCTGGAGCGTCTGTTACGCCTCCACCCATCGCTTCGTTTTTTTGCTCTTCCCACCCCTTACCCATTGTTCTCCCGTGCCCAGTAGTATGAGCCTTCGGTTTTGCTCTTTACGCCTAATATTCCACCCTCAGTCCTCCCCCCAATGTTGTGAGTAACTCATTGCGGTTGGCCCAGGGAACCTCTTTTTTTGTCGCCCATACAATTTTAAGCCAATTTAGGGGCACCGCAGTGTAACCTGTCCTGTGGGGGTCAGCCAATCTCCTGGCACCGGGAAACCGTGGGACTCTCCCCCTAGGGGCCCTTCGGATGAAAACCCGATGTGCCAGGCAACCCCCCCCCCCCGCCAGGATACTACTACGTGGGTGCACTGCGTGCCGGTGGCGTATTTAGTGCGGGGGCCGGGAGGGAGTCGCGGCGCTTGCAGAGTTGCTCTGCGGTCGTGGCACCACACGTGTGTATGTGGATGTTTGTGTCTGTATGTACGTGTGTATGTATCTGTATGTAGGTGTGTATGTGGATGTTTGGGTCTGTATGTACGTGTGTATGTGTCTGTATGTAGGTGTGTATGTGGATGTTTGGGTCTGTATGTACGTGTGTATGTGTCTGTATGTACGTGTGTATGCGTGTGTATGTGTCTGTATGTACGTGTGCGTGTGTATACGTACATGTGTGTGTATGTGTCTGTATATATGTACGTGTGTGTATGTGTCTGCATGTATGCGTGTGTATGTATGTATGTACGTGTGTCTGGCGAGCGGTAATGGAGCAGTTAGCGCTACGCTGCGATATGAACCAGGCGACCCGAGTTCGATTCCTGCTCACGGCCAAGACCCAGTGATGATTATATGAACCGGTCCTGGGCCTCCCATAGGTCGACTCAGCCTCAAATAATGATCTGGTGCGGTGCGTAAAAACATCGCTGCTGGAGAGACAAAGGCGGCTGGGAGTGGTGTTGGCCACCCACCCCCTCGTGTGCTGTTCTGGCTTTCATAGGTGCTCGCTAACAGCACTTGCCAAAACAGTCTGCTAAGGCTATACGGGGGATCTTTGTCTTTGATGCGTGTCTGTACGCGAGTGTGTGTGTGTATGTATCTGTATGCATGTACATGTATGTGTGTACATTTTGTACCGGGGTTTTGTTGTGTGAGTCTTCGATCTCTATTGTTTATAGATGGGTTTCTTTCTTTCCCTTAAGTGATCTTTGGACGAGAGCTATTGTCAGGGCAATGGACATCAAGATCAAGATATTTGTTCTCCTCGCTCTGGTGGTAATCGTCATGGTGTATTTTTCCAGCAACCTCAAGGTACGATTCAAGGTTTTTATTTATTTATTACAAAGCCTTACCGTGCACATTTCATGCTGGTGTAATAAAAGACTTCGTCAGGCACTGCTGGTCTCCGTTGGTCTTTTATTTAGTTTCCTCTTTGCACCCCGCTGGTCCTGACCGCGGACCAGCGTCTCCTCGCACGCACCCCGCATGCGCTCCCTCGTCGGCTCCCTCTCGCACCCCGCTGGTCCTGACAGCGGACCAGCGTCTCCTCGCACGCGCCCCACGCGCGCTCCTCCGTCAGCTCCTCCACTCCCCCACTCCGCACACCGCTGACGGTGTGCCGAAGCCCCATCAGCCACGTGGCTGATGGCGCGGCGGCCACCCAACGTGGTCCCGCTTCTTCACTCCAACAACTGACCCCGATCCCTTCTGGGCTCCCCCCTATATCCTGTTTTCCACGTGATCCTGACTCCTCCCCTTCTGGATCGTCAGATCCGGCCTTCCCATACTGCCCTGCTGGCTCCACCCGCATTCACCTCGCTTCCAATTGGACCCGAGGTGAACGGCGGCCCCTCCCACACGCCCCCCATACTGGGCTCCGCCCCCCAATACCCCGGGCCGTGTGATTGGGCCAGAGCCCAGCAGCAAACCCCATTTATGCTCGCATTACATGACCCCCCCCCCCCCCCTGATGTAAAAGACCAGCCGTCCCGGCTGAAACAGGATAAAATAATGCGAGCGACAGCAACACATTCAGGAATTACAACCGACACAATGGAGAGCACAAAAACGACTAACACAATCAACGAAAGGAAAGGGATTAGGATCCGGTACGGAACACCGGCCCGTCCTCCGTGCAACAAGCAAGAAAGAATTGAGGAATGGAAGGCAATGCACAACAACGGTAACGGACACGCAAGAACGGCAGACGCGCATAAATCAGGAATGCGGTGTCTTAGAGCGTGTCCGTGTTGCTGATCCATCCACCTGGCTCAAGTCCAAATTCAGAGAACAACTGGTAGAGCAGGAGTGACGAACAGGCGCTCCACTCCCCCTTCAAGTCCACATCCGGTTACCACAACCGGTGACACCCAGTGTGGCAGGCGCCGAAAATCTGTGACGAGAAGGAGAACCCAACCCCCTGAGGCACAGCACGACGAAACGCACATCAGGTCGACCCCTATATCCGGCAAGAAGTTGCACCTGGGGGATGCCCCAGTATCTACATTTAAAATAAAAAATATAATTTGCACGTGACAACAAAAATTGTCCTGCTCTTGCCCATCAGCAGTCCTCCCTTGAGGATCAGCACAGACATCTCACGTACACAGCATCTACCCACTGTCACTCTCAACACAGCCCCCGGCCGCACACCCTCGCATGGAAAGAGCAACGCTCTCCAGCGGCAACATTTAACTTGCCTTCGCCCGCACCGTGGTCGTCCAACCACAGCAACGTCCACTGGCCATCCATTCGGCCAGTGCAATTTCGGGGACGAGACAATGGCACATCGCAATGACTCAGCCACGCTCCATCCCGTACTATCCCATCACCAATGGACACACCCCAGCATCTTATCGTCTGACGCTTTACAGACAAGGGAAGGTTCATCCCTTGGCAAGGCCAGACCCCATCGACCCGCCAAGAGGCAATGTTCCCTAGCCAATATCTTGACGATATGGAGTCGCACTCCCCAACACGCATTCCGAACAACTTAGGTTTACTATCACCAATAGGCTGAACCCGCTGTCCAGCATGTGGCCTCACTGCCGTCCTAGCAATCACCCCGGACCCGTCACATTCCGCTAACCTAGGCCATATACCATTTGCTTGAACCCCCACAATATCCATATCCCCGAATAGGATCTGCAGGACTAGTTCCCCTATACATTCAATACCGTTATAACCCAGAGCGGAACAAGTCCGTGGCCATTCCCGCTGGAGGACCCGCAAGGGGAATTCCTGCCCCATGCTAGCCAGGTCTCACCGTTCGCTGCAACGTAACGGAACCCCTACTCCTGAATTCCGTGAGCCTCCGGCCCACCAGGTTAAACAGTCTGCCACTGCACGATGGAACCCTGACTCCCATTAGTTTGAGACATACCACGGAGTGTCTCGCCTCCGGGCTGTCAGGTCAGCCATCGGCCATAGCCCGATGTGACCACAACTCGTGCATCACCCACTCAACAATGGCAGGTGTAAACTGGTGAAATATGTGCCCCAGAATAGAACCCAGCCAGCATCTCAGTCCCAAAATGCTGGTGCATTGACACGCCCCCCTTTAGTCAGACACGGGCCACTATGCTCCTGTTACCCCAATGGGCGCCAACACGCCAGCATTGCGCAAAACACGCAATGCACGCACACAAGTTAGAGCGCAACACGAGAATCAAGGGATGACAGCCATAACCGCATCCCCACGGCTCGACGTGTATACTTAAAATGGCGGCGGCACGCGCGAAGCGCTCCACCGAGGTTTCCCGCACTCAAAATGGTGGCGGTACGCACGCCCGTGCGCGCTGAAAATGGCGGCGGCACGCGCGAAGCGCCCCACCGAGGTTTCCCGCATGCGCTCAAAATGGCAGCCCCCTGCGCCAAGCGCATCCCCGCGATTTCCCACGCTAGCCCAAAATGGCGGCCCAACGTGCGACCAATTCGGCAGTTTTTCCCGTGTGTGCACCCCATCTGCCCCTTGCTGGGGGTCACAACACACATCCTCTGTCACGTTAACAACCCCCAACGATACAATGCATCGCCGCAGCTCGCTGCGCACAGCAGTCGTATCGGGGGAATTTTTAACCCATTCTTTGACCCAGACACATTGCTCATACACACCAACTCGCAATGCAACCCCTGGCTGCACGCAATCAACGGAAAGAGCGACGCCACTTGGCGGCAATTTACGGCTCCATGCACCCTTGAAGGCAGAGCCACCAACAACGCCCTCATCCCTCAACAATCGCAATTTCCTATGAACACACATGCAATCTCGCGAGCACGAACACCTATACAACCAAAAATTAGGGTCCCCCAACGAATTGACCAATTTCCGAACAGGTACGCATAATTAATAACAATCCTGAACCCAATGGTCAGAACAATGCACCGCACTCCGTATCTGTACAGAAAGACACTCTATACAGTATGTGCAGTCAGCATATCGCGATCACAAGCAGCAAAGTTCCATACAGGTCGTACATTATGAACAATCGTGATAAGAGCTGCAGGCAGACAACACACCGTTAACCCTGTCGTACCTTGCAGCAAAAAAAAAATCATCATAAAAAAACCACGTCGCACACGACAACCCACGGGATGGTAAGGGGCTCGGGACACTCGACGCAACCGAATTAATAATTAACTTCGCCATCAAGATAACATCCCCATGCCACAACGCATAAACACTATTTGACACAGAGCAAACACAAGCAGACAGCGCGTCCATCCTCAACACACACACAACTCGAACCGCGCTCCGCAATCTCGAGCCATAACAACGCAATTGCAACCCAGCACACGCAAAATGGGTGAGGTATGTGTTAGGGCCCGGGTGCGTATCGTCACGACTCACCCGGGGGCTGCGGCGAGCAGAGGACGGCAGGGTGGTGACTTGAGACGCCTCGAAGAACTCGGATGGTGAGCGCAGCGTCCTCTTGCGACTGCTCTGGTGTCTCGCACTTGAGCCAGTGCGGGGGTGCTCCCGCCCAGGCAGCAGCAGCAACGGCAGCTTCCCCCATGGCTCTGGCGCTCTCTCGTTGAAGGTGGTGAAGCAGCATCGGCGTCTTCTCCTTGCGGCTCCTTCCTGCAAAACAGCCGCATCAGCAGCACGATGCACACCACGCAGCACCTCCGAGATGGCAGAGCCCAGCCGCCTCTCCGCTGCGATGTTCACGATGGCGGCGGCCTGCCACGTAGCCGCTGGAGGACGTGTGCTGGCGGCCGTCTTCCCAGCGCGCCCGATGTCCTCCACTGGTGCGGAAGACACACCAGCCGTGGTTGCAATAACCGGGACCACGGAGCCCGGGGTCAGCCGGTTCTGTGTTGCCGCCTCTTCGTCGTCGGAAGATGTAACAAGTGGGTTACGCTTTTTTAAGTGCTCAGCCATCTTCCTTGATGTCATTTTGCCTTGAAAAAGTCCACTTCTGACTCCAGTGTAATAAAAGACTTCATCAGGCACTGCTGGTCTCCGTTGGTTTTTTATTTAGTTTCCTCTTTGCACCCCGCTGGTCCTGACCGCGGACCAGCATCTCCTCGCGTGCGCCCCGCACGCGCTCCCTCGTCGGCTCCCTCCTCGCACCCCGCTGGTCCTGACAGCGGACCAGCGTCTCCTCGCTCGCGCCCATGCGCACTGCTCCGACAGCTCCTCCGCTTCCTCTCGCACCCCGCTGGTCCTGACAGCGGACCAGCGTCTCCTCCACTCCACATACCGCTGGCCGATGGTGTGCCGAAGCCCCATCAGCCACGTGGCTGATGGCGCGGCGGCCACCCAACGTTGCCCCGCTTCTTCACTCCAACAACTGACCCCGATCCCTTCCGGGCTCCCCCCTATATTCTGTTTCTCATGTGATCCTGACTCCTCCCCTTCCGGATCGTCAGATCCGGCCTTCCCATACTGCCCTGCTGGCTCCACCCGCATTCACCTCGCTTCCAATTGGACCCGAGGTGAACGGCGGCCCCTCCCACACGCCCCCCATACTGGGCTCCGCCCCCCAATACCCCGGGCCGTGTGATTGGGCCAGAGCCCAGCAGCAAACCCCATTTACGCTCGCATTACACTGGTACACATGAAGGAAGAATCTGGCCCTGCTATTTGTCCACATGGTATAAGGTCTTTGTGTCACTGCACTGGTCCACACCTATGTCCTCTTTGTACTCTTCGCCTTTTGGCGTTCTCTAGTCTGACACTGCTGGTGAGACTATGCCCTAAAGAAGGCTGCTGTCTCGTGTGTAGGCCAATAAGTTTCAAAGACAATGCATAAAATTGTTACATGATTATGAAAGACTAATAGACTACATAAGTGAAGTGGATTCAACTGAGTCGCAGACGTACACATTGGAGGCAACACATTTATTAATACCAACACTCGGGGTAACTACCCCTTAACACGACAACAATCTATGGTGGTGGACCACCAGGCTAACTGCACGGTAACTAGCTACAACGGATCGGACCACAGCTTGGGTCCAGGTCCACGTGTTGGAGACTCTGTAGGATGTAGAACGTAGATTCTTCTGGATGAACAACAGCAGCTGGTCCCTCTGGGGGACCCGGCTTTTATCCTCTGTGGCGTGGCTGGCTCCGCCCTTGGCCACGACCACCTTCGAGAATCCTCGAGCAGAACCTCAGACCTGACACGTGACCACCCCTAGCCCCCATCTGGGGGCCCTGTGTAGACTTTACCGGTCACGTGTCCTTCGGGGTCAACCAGAGTGCCATGGCCCTTAGCAACCCCATTCCCATGGCCGGCACTCTCACACACTATCCTGTAGGGGTCGGCACTGCACACAGAGCGTGGTGCCTTCCAAGGCTGTCAGTCAGAGCTCACCGAGCCCCTCCAGGGCCGGTACTGCACCCACACCGCACGCCGTGCCTCTCTCAGGCCGGCATTCCACAGTGACATCCGCAATATCACTACATAAGTAATAGTATATTATACTCGTCTACTGACACTGGTGGTGAGATTAGGCCCTAAAGAAGGCTGCTGTCTCTGGTGTACGCCAATCAGTTTCAAAGACAATGCCAAATATGATCAGAACCACGCTTTTTTGCATGTTCACCACAAGTACTGTGTGTGTGGTTAATGCAGTAACTTTTACAAAAGGTTTATATTTGGTGTTTGAACATCTTAACACAACTCCTGTATAGGTATTCGTAAGTACGGGTGTGTTCGTTTGCAAGAAGGTGCGGGTGTTTGTAGTCTCAAACAGTGTTAGTTTTATTGCCAGAAAGGGTTAAACCTATTCTTATATGTTGATACTGGCTAGAGATGTCCCATGATGTAGCTGCTCGCTCCGAGCTCTCAATGTCCTGATAGTGGCATTGTCTTTGTGCTGTTCGCCTTTTGGCGTCCTCTGGTCTAATACTGTTTGAGACTCGGCTATAAAGAAAGCTGTCTCTGGTATGAACCAATCAGTTTCAAAGAATGCATATACTACCAAAGCATTTTTTTGCATATTCCTTGCAAAAGGTTTCAGTTTGGTGTTTTAATATCTTAACACCTGTCTATTTGCCAGAAAGGGTAAAACCTATTCTTATAACATAATATGTATTATTGTTGTTCGTTTTTTTTTATAAGCCGTAATTGTGGAACTCTTTGTCTGCCGGCCCGAGTAGCCCTTGAAAGTCAAATTCTTATCTCAGTGGTCTCTGGTCGGGATATACGCTTACTCTGATTATCATGCGTCCGAACACCAGACCTGAAATTGGGGAGGAATTTTGCAAGAATAGGGGGGTGGGGGGATGTGGAGGGGGTGCTATTTTGCTATTGCTTTTCCAAATTAATTGACGTAAAAAAATATCTTCTATTGCAGATGTTGTTAAAGATTGACGAGGGCATGCCTGTGGTCTACTCCTGTCGTGCAAGTTTATACGAGATGATGTTAAAAAATAAACCGAAGGTCATTGCTCGCCCAATCGCGGACATGACCTTCGTCTCATCAGCCTCCAACAGCATTGCCAGGGTTATGAATGGCAACAGGACGCGACCGCTCAGCGTGGGTGACACGCTGCTCGTCGAAGTCAAGGTGCGAGACTTCGCCGGGCGCCCCAAGCACCATGGCGGGGACTTCCTGCTCGCCAGGCTCTCAAACGTGCAGCTCGACGCGGCCGCCTCCGGCGCGGTGACCGATCACGGCGATGGCACATATCTCGTGGCCTTCCGCATCTCATGGCCAGGCGAGAGCCACGCCGAGGTGGTGCTCGTCCACTCGAGCAAGGCGGTCGCGGCGCTGGAGAGGGTGCGCGAGGCCGTGCCTGACAAGATCGGCTTCTGGGGCTCGTTTGTGTCCGGCCGACGCGAGGAGCGGTCTGTCTGCCACGTGTCCCTGAACGCAACGGCAGGTGGCCGGCTCTGCGACTTCGGCGACGCAGAGCGCGGCGAGGCGTGGCGGTGCGCGAGGCCGAGGGGGATGCCCTGCAGTGCCCTCCGGGGCTACGTGTCGTACACCAAGTACGCGCACATGTTCACGAGTGAGGAGTGCCAGCTCTTCTCGAGGTGAGCGAGAGACTTCGGTTCTCGACAACGTCTGAAACCCGCTACGAGCAAGAGTTGACTTGTTATGGCTACTCGGCAAACTCACTTCATCCAGTCGTTCTTCTTCCCCCATGCCGGGGGGGGAGACTTTTCTCACGATGCAGAAACACGTCCTCCATTACAACGCAGGATGCATGCACCTTTAGAGAGCGGGTTCTGTGCGCAGTCGACGAGCTACAGTAATGTCTCAGAATATATATACAGGGTGCTTCAAAAAAATGGACACTTCTGACAATTTGCAACAATACCACAAGAAATGTGCCTCCAGGCTCTGGAGACCACCTGGAGAAGATTCCAGGCACGTGTTGACAATGATGGCGAACAAGTGGAGACTCTATGACTTTTTGCAGCTATTAATACACATTTGCTATAATGTTAGTGTATTATCCGTTTTTTCCCATTAATAACGATAGTCCCATGTAAGTGTTTATTTTTTTAAGCACCCTGTCTCTATCTACAGTAAGGTTTTACTATATATACATAGTAAGGTTGCTCTGTATGTATACAGTAAGTAAACACTTGATTGGAAGTTTTTGTGACTGCAGGAATTACTCTTTCGTTCTTGCGCTAAAGTCACGTAGAAAATAACTAAATTAAATAATAGATTGCAACACAAGCAGTCGTTATCAGATAGAACTACATTTGAGAGAAAGATAAACACAGACACGGAAACACACAGACAGACACACGAACACAGAGACAACACAGAGACACACAGAGAGAGACACACAACATACACACAGAGACCCAATACCTCTGTGTCGTGGTCTTAAATAGAGAGAGGAGGGGGGGGGGGGACAGAGAGAGAGGTGGGTCTGCTGGAGCAGAGAAATTGGCATGTCAATGAGAGAGCTGTGTGAAATCCTCGTTATTATACCTCGAATGTCGTCAGTATATTATTGTAGACAATCGTAGATGATCGTAGACGACCATTCAACATAGACCAACATAGACAATCGTAAACTAGCATAGACCACCGTAGACTGTTGTAGACCACCATTTCATCGTAGACCATCATAGACCGCCATTAATCATAGATCATCGTAGACCATTATAGACCATCGCAGATTATCGTAGACCAACATTCATCGTAGACCATCATCCATCGTAGACCATCACTTATTATAGACCACCATTCATCGTAAACCATCGTAGACCGCCATTAATCATAGATCATCGTTGACCATCATAGACTATCATAGACCATCATTCTTCATAGAACATCATTCATTGTAGACCATCTTAGACCTACATAGACTATCGTAGACCATCGTCCATTCATAGACTATCCTCCATCGTAGGCCAGCGTAGACCACTATTCCTTCTCGTGAAGTTTATGGATATCCCAAGCCCACCGTGTCACTGGAATGCAATCCTGAGTTTAGGTGGGGGGACACGACCCGTGAACACACACACACACATACCCATCGATTAATGAAGAAAATTGGTGATGGAACGGAGCCGCCGCCACCATAAAAAAAACAAGGAGGCAGGGGATTGGTGGGACACCTGATTGGAGGGGGGGGGGATAACCACCGGTGTAGAGACAATGTCCAATTTTCGTGAAGTCCAATTTAAAAAATGTAGAAAAAACCCTCCGGCAAAGTCGCTGTGAATACGAAGAGAACAGCCAACTTTCCAATTCATCAGCACCTCGACAACGTTCCCCCTCGTCATTGCGTGAAGTCACGCAAGGCCTCCTGTTAGAGCCTGTTGCTCTTACACCCGATGAAGCTTGGGAAGCTGGGTGGAGTTCAACAGAACTCACAAACACCGCGTTATTGTGAACGAGCCAATGCAGAGGGATCCCCTCTGGGGGTTTTGGTGTTCACACGAAGCTGTTCGCGGTCTCACTCTTAGCAGCATCCACCGCAAAGACCAGAGCAGCAGGAGATGCGGATATCCTGATGCACAAATGTAAACTTAAAAAATTAACCCGTAAAAACAAAGTTTTTCACTATAAATCCTTTATATGCGTGTTCAATGGGCCACAACCCAGCCCACATTGGTCTTTGAAACGGGCGGCTAGAGTCCTCTCGTCCTCTGGCTTGAGATGGCTGCCACCCATGGGTCAGATGATTGCTTGCCACCATTAAGCAATTGGTAATTACATATAAAAAAAAATCCTAAAAAGTGTAAAATTTTACAAAAACATTTTCAGGAAAATTAATTGTCACGCACAACGAGTCTGTGTGCAAAATGTCAGCTCGATTGGATCACGGGAAGTGGGTAAAAAAATACGACTGAAAGATTTGCACGGTCATAAGCGCGCAAGCAAGCAAGCAAGTGAACTTAATATAAAGGATTTTAAAAAACCTCTGTGGTAGTAGGAGTGTGACTGTGGTCATCCAGAACAGAGACCATGGGAAACCGTGTAACCACGCAATGCCCCAAATCACAGCGATACCACCACTCCGCTGCTCCTGATGTGGCTTATCTGGCTCTACCACCTGAATGTGAAATTGTGGTTGGTTGATCTGCATCTACATCAGCAGGCATGCGGAAGAAGAAGACCAACACACTCACACTCCTTCACCCATACAACAACCGCCATTCACCACTAAGTGGTGGTGACGTCCCCACGATGCTTGTGCCAGGCTATGTGCATGTTGAAGCAACGTGTAGTGTCAAACGCCCGCTGGCAGGTGGTCACGGGGCAGACCCAGGTAATAAGTATGTCCCTGCAGACTCCATGCCACGGGTCGACTGACTGAGATGACTGGCTGATGCACCACCTGTGCCCTCTACTGTGCCAACTTGCTGTGCTTTAGCCACCCGGCACTTAACTCGTTGTTGTGAGCATCGCTCCTCTGCTCTCCGTTGATGTTGGAGGGTGACTCCCTCCAACTGCCCGGTAGCGTCCTTCACGAGCCTGCTCCACAGAGGTCGATCTTGACACTGCTGGTACCAGTCATCGGCAAGTCCACTCAGCTCCACATCCTCCTGTACCACATCACTCCATCTCATCTCTAGCCCGTGCCGCGCCCGTTTAGGCAGGCCAGCCTAAATGTTTCTCACTGGTGAAGATGCTCCATCAGGGAGGTCCACGTTTCACAAGCATAGAGAAGGGAGGGAATGACCGTGGCCGAGGAAGACCTGAAGCTTCGTGCGGAGCGACAGACCAGGTAGCTTCCACACAGCGTTACACAAACGATGAAAACATAATGCCGCTCGACTGATTCGGAATGAGACCTCTGCTGTCAAACCGGAGCCAGTCATGAGCACACTGCCCAGGTATGGGACACTCTCCACTATCTCAACAACTGCCCTATCACACCCACCCACACCCACCCACACCCATCCACACCCCTCCCCACACTCACCCACACGCACTCACACCCATCCACCTGAATGTGAAATCGTAGTTGGTTGCTCTGCATCCACATCAGCAGGCGTGCGCAAAAAAAACGAAGTTATAAAGTTACATGCTGCCACTCGCCGTTGGTTTCACGGTGACAACGGGGGGAGTAGTATTTTGCAATTAAGTAATGGTGCATTGCACGTGCGGATTATTGACCAGAAAATAATCATCTTATTGACTTGAAATAATCATCTTATTAAAATGTCGTTACAGTGGGAATAACCTTGTTCCTATAAACATCAAATACAAGGTGCAAGCTACGCAGTATAAAGGTAAGATGTGTGATATTGCGATCATCAAAAGTACAGTAATCATCTGGTTATTCACGAAATTTGCTCTCCGCGGTTTTGGTTATCGGCGAATCGCATGTGGAACTTGACTGCTGCATCGAGAAAGTCGACTTTTTTTGGCAATTTGTTATTCTTTTATCCAGAATGGGAAATTTCCACGTAAGTAAAAATGCGTCACAGACGACATTGCACACAAATCGCATCAAAAGTGAAAAACTAAGTCGCCATTGCAGGCTTCACACAGCGCTTCGTCAGCGCACCACCCGTGGTTGAACCTGCCCAGATCATTCATCATTTTATGAGAACCAAAACTCAACCTGCATCCCTGTGCTCGCCAACAGACGGAATAAGAAAGCGGTGTTCGCGCACTCGGAACCTGCCAACTTGTTCTTTCGACTCTTTAAAATTGCCAACTTGGCTTGTCCCAGTAGGTAATTGGCCGAGCAGCCCCTTCTTGCTGAGCGAGATATGTAGAAAACTAGTAGGGACATCTTGCGCGTAATTTTACAAACAGGAGGGCGAACCTTGGACAGCGGGCAAACCACGTGAGACACGTTATGGGACCTCCCTTGCCAGTATCAACATATACGAATAGGTTTAACCCTTTCTGGCAATAAAACGGGGGGTGTTAAGACGTCAAAACACCAAACAGGAACCTTCTGCAAGTAATCATGTACAGAATTGACCACACACGGTACTTGTGGTGAATATGCATACAAAAAAGAACATCGCATGTTCGCCACAACTACCACATGGGGTTTATGCAGTAACCTGATTCCTTGCAAAAGGTCTCTGTTTGGTGTTTTAACATCTTAACACCCCCTGTTTTATTGACAAAAAGAGTAAAACCGATTCATATATTTGAATAACTTTGTGTTGCATGTTCAACAGGTCTCTGTTTGGTGTGTTAACATCTTAACACCCTCTGTTTTATTTCTTATACGTGAGACACAGTTTCCCTGCTGTCACAATGTAATGCGGGCGTAAATGGGCGGGTGGGATGTGACGATCCGAGAGGGAGGAGTCAGGGTCACGTGGGGGGAGAAGTTATAGCGGGGAGACAGGAAGAGATCCAGGAGTCGGGGGGAGTGAAGAGTGGAGACCACGTTGGGTGGTCGCCGTGCCTCAGCCTGGTGGCTGAGGGGCTCATGACGGCACCAGCCAGCGGGGTGGAAGAGAGAGTTGGGGATAGAGACAGAGAGTGGCGAGATCGCCACAGAGGCCACGCAGGGCTGAGGTTGGAGAGTGGCGAGATCGCCACAGAGGCCACGCAGGGCTGAGGTTGGGGAGTGGCGAAATCGCCACACACGGTAAGACTCGGCACCGCCAGCCAGCGGTGACCGAGCACGGAGGAACGGGGAGCAGCGGTGGAGCTGCTGTGAGAGCAGCCAGAGGGCTGCACCAGGGACCTGCAGCGGAGCTGCAGGAGCGCGGAAGGCTACGGGAGCGAAGGCAGCTGTGGAGCTGCCAAGCGGGGAGTCTCTGAGAGAGCCATGTGGGAAAAGTATACGAACCCGAATAAAGGACACGGAGACAGACACAGTGGCCGAGTCCTTTATTACACTGGTGTCAGAAGTGAAACGGCATGTCAAAACAACTCAGAGGAGAGAATGTTCCTGCGCCGTCGTCTGCTGCATCATCCGACGACGACGACCTTCCTCAGGCGATGGACCTGCCTGCGATGGAAGAGGAGATCCGTGCTGGAACGAGTACGGGTCCGGGGGTGCAAGATGTCGCCGCGTCGGTGGACCCGTCTGCGCCGGAGGACGCCGACTTACAATCGAGACAGATGGCGGCGCAGCTGGAGACCTTGAAAATTGTGCTGGCGCAACTGTGTGAGCTCACCACGCCGAGGACGGCATCAGGGGGGCCCGGTGGTGATCCGCAGGCCTCCGCCTTGCCTGCGCTGCCAGCGCCATCTGCCACGCGGCACGAAGATGCCATCTTGGGCGTGGCAGGGGAGAAACGGCGGGAAGCCGCCATCTTGTCTTCACCGCGGCGGGAAGACGCCGCCATATTCAACATCGCGGCAGAGAGGCGGCCTTGCGCTGCCATCTGGAGGTGCCGCGGGGTGAGCAGCCTGCTGTGAGCTGCTGTTTTGCGAGAAGGAGCTGCGAGGAGAGGACGCCGACGCTGCAGCTGCTGGGACGGGAGCTCTCCCGTCCTGGCTCGGGTGCGAGATAACGGGGCAGTCAAGTCATCGTTCGAGTTCTGCGAGGCGTCTCAAGTTACCACCCTGCGCCCTCTGCTTGCTGCAGCCCCGGGCGAGTCGTAACGATACGCACCCGGCCTTAACACACACCTCACCCATCTAGCGTGTGCCGGGGTGCGATTTTTGTCATGTCTCGAGCGTGCGGAGCGTGGTTCGGGCTGTGTGTGTGTGTGTGTTCTGGATGAACGCGCTATTTGCTTGTTGCTCGGTGTCAATTAGTGTGTATGTGTGTGTGTTGAGGATGGACGGAGAGTCTGCTGTGCTTGCTGAGTGTCAAATAGTGTGTGTGCACTGCGGCGTGGAGTTGTTATCTTGATGGCAAAGTTAATTATTAATTTGGGAGCGTCGGGTATCCTGCGCTGTGCCATCTCGTGGGTTACCGTGTGCGACGGGCTTAATTGAAAAATATTTTTTTTTGGTGTATTGTGCTGCGAGGTGCTGTGTGCGATGTGGTTGTTTGCAAGAGAGAATATTTGTGTTGTTGCTGCGAAGTTACGACAGGATTAATGGTGTGTTGGTTGCCTGCAGATCTGTTGCTATTGTGCTTAAATGTATGCGTGTGATCGCGATATGCTGACTGCATGTGCTGTTACACCGTTCTGTACGGTTATGGGGTGCGATGCATTGGTTGACTATTGGGGTTGGGATTGTTATTAATTGTGCGTACCTGTTGGAAATTGGTAACAAATTCGAGGGGGACCCAAAAATGTGGTTGTATGGGTGTTTATGCACACGAGCTTGCGTGTATATTATAGGTAATTGAGCTTTTTGAAAATGAGGGTGCGCGATGACGCCGTTGTGGGCGGCTTAGATGTTAATGGCGATGGGGCCGTAAATTGGCGCCAAGTGGCGTCGCTCATTCGGTTGATTGCATGCAGCCAGGAGTTGCTTTGCGGGTTGGTGTGTGTAACCAATGTGTTTTGGTAAAATATTGGTTAAAATTTCCCCGATATGACTGCTGTGCGCAGCAAGCTGGGGCTGTGCGTCTGTCGTTGGTGGGGATGTTACAACGTGACGGGGGATGCATCTTGTGACCCCCAGCAAAGGGCAGCTGGGGTGCACGCACGGGGAAAACTGGCCACGTGTTCGCACGTTGGGCCGCCATTTTGCGCGCATGCGGGGTATGGCGACGATGCGCTTTGCGCAAGGGGCCGCCATTTTGAGTGCGTGCGAGATATTGCGAGAACGCGCTTGGCGAAGGGGGCCGCCATTTTGAGCGCGCGAGAAAAACCTCGGTGGGGCAAATATTCCATCTGTTATGCCTACCATTGTTGATTGGGTGATGCACGAGTTGTGGTCACATCGGCCTATGGCTGATGGCTGACCTGACAGCCCGGAGGCGAAACCTCCGTGGTATGTCTCAAACTAATGGGCCGTGTGCTCATATGGCTCGGGGAGTCATGGTTCAGTTGTGCGGTGGCAGACTGAACCTGGTGGGCCGGGGGCTCACAGGATTTGGAGTAGAGGTTTTGTTTCGTGCCAGCGAACGGGGTGACCTGGCTAGCATGGAGCAGGGATTCTCTATGCGGGTCCTCCAGCGGGAAGGGCCGCAGACTTGTCCGCTCTGGGTTATTGAATCTATAAAAGAACATTACCTCGTGGGGGGAGTCGATGGGGTCTGGCATTGCCGGGGGATGAATCTTCCCTGGGCTATAAAGCATCAGACTATACGAGGCTGGTGTGTGTCCATCGCTGATGGGATAGTAAGGGAGGAGCATGGCCGAGTTGCTGCTCATCCCCGAAATTGCACTAGCCGAGAGTATGGTCAGTGGATGTTGCTGTGGTTTGACGACCACGGTGGGGGTTAGGGCGAGTTAAACGTTACAGCTGGGGAGCATGGCTCTTTCCACGCGAGGGTGTGCGACTGGGGGTTTTGTTGAGAGTGACCGGGGGTACATGCTGTATACGTGCGATGTCTGTGCTGGTCCTCAAGGGAGGACTGCTGGTGGGCAAGAGCGGGAATTTTTGTTGTTGTTGTCACGTGTAAATAATGTTGTTGTAAAAATTTAAATACTGGGGCATTCATCGCGTCTATTTTGGGTATTTATTGGGGTTTCTTAAGTGGGCCGGAATTACATCATCTCCACTACCCTGGGGCCGGGTGGCTGTCGTGTATGACATGCGGATGTGCGTTGTTGTGCTGTGCCTCAGGGGATTGGACTCTCCTTCTCGTCACAGATCTTCAGCGCCTGCCACACTGGGTGTTACCTAGTGTGCTGACTGGATGAGGACTTGAAGGAGCAATTGAGCGCCCGTTCGTCATTCCTGCTCTACCACTTGCTCTTTGACGTTGGACTTGAGCCGAGCGGATGGAACTGCAACATGGACACGCACTAAAACACCACATTCCTGGGTGTGCGCGTCGGCCGTTCTTGCGTGTCAGTTGCCATTGTTGTGCATTGTGCCATTCTTATTCTTGTTGTTGTTGCGCGGAGGACAGGCCGGTGTTCTGTTCCAGTTCCTGATACCTCCCCTTTCGTTACTTGTGTTGTTGTTGTTATAATCTCCGTTGTGTTTGGGGGACTCCTGATTGTGATGCCTTCGCCCGCATTATTTTGTTCTGTTTCAGCCGAGGACGGCTGTAATTTTCTCTACAGGGGAGGGTGGTGTAATGCGGGCGTAAATGGGCGGGTCGGATGTGACGATCCGAGAGGGAGGAGTCCTGGTCACGTGGGGGGAGAAGTTATAGCGGGGAGACAGGAAGAGATCGAGGAGTCGGGGGGAGTGAAGAGTGGAGACCACGTTGGGTGGTCGCCGTGCCTCAGCCTGGTGGCTGAGGGGCTCATGACGGCGCCAGCCAGCGGGGTGGAAGAGAGAGTTGGGGATAGAGACAGAGAGTGGCGAGATCGCCACAGAGGCCACGCAGGGCTGAGGTTGGAGAGTGGCGAGATCGCCACAGAGGCCACGCAGGGCTGAGGTTGGGGAGTGGCGAGATCGCCACACACGGTAAGACTCGGCACCGCCAGCCAGCAGTGACCGAGCACGGAGGAACGGGGAGCAGCGGTGGAGCTGCTGTGAGAGCAGCCAGAGGGCTGCACCAGGGACCTGCAGCGGAGCTGCAGGAGCGCGGAAGGCTACGGGAGCGAAGGCAGCTGTGGAGCTGCCAAGCGGGGAGTCTCTGAGAGAGAGCCGTGTGGGAAAAGTATACGAACCCGAATAAAGGACACGGAGACAGACACAGTGGTCGAGTCCTTTATTACAACAATATGGGCAAAGCTTGCACGCCTCCTCGTCGATGTGTTTCAATAGCAAACCGCATGTAGCAGTGCCATGTGCCACCCTCCACTGCAAATCCCCAACCCTCTTGAGGCCCTCCATGACAGGAAGCGAGTCTCTGGCAGAGGGAGATGCTCCCTCTATTCCATGCCACACAATTCTTTTAAAGGTTCAAAGCTGGTAACCTTGACGTGCAATAGTCAGAGCTCGACTTTTGTGGCGTCTTTAAAAA